CCCCAAAACCCCAAAACCCCGCATGTTGTTATGACAAATGTAAAGGAAATTAATGTATTATCATCATTGATTAATATTTTTAATATTCACTGTCTATTTCCTGTTATATCTAATCTATTCATAGGCAAATTCAAAAATAACTTGAATAACGTACTGGGTGAAAGAAACAAATATTAGAGTAAGGTAAAATACAGGGGTTTTCCAAACCCAAAAGAACGTTCCATTCATATCAGGACTGGAATTTGAGGTGTCTTATATTTTGAATATCAAGAAAAATGATAATATTGAGAATAGCAGTAGTCCAGTGCTGACATAATCATGAGTTTTGAATTAAAATAGGATTTCAAAATTGGAGAAAAATATCAAGGAGCAGAAAATAAGTTAGCCAACCAAGAATATAGAAGCTGATAGCCCTTTAGGATTAACAGTATAATCAAAGGTGTAAAAAGCCAAAAACATTATTAGACAGGATTGTAGGAATGCTTATATGATATATCTCCAGAAAATAGGTTAGTTTAAATGTCTTCTTTAAGGACCCTTCAAATATGCTTTAGGAGTGTTTAATAGATACTCCTTATCGTGTTGTTGATCGTAAATGCAATACCAGATAATTGGAAGAGAGGTGAATATAATGTTGTAGAACTATTAAATCCAGATTTCATAGATGTTTTGACCTGAAAATTCATTTACAATTCCGAACCAGAACTACGGAGAGACAAATAATATATTCTTATAATAGAAGTAGCATACGCAGTAAGAGTCCCTTCTATAAGACTCTCTACCGTGGACAAATAGCAGGTTCTTTAGATATTGAAACTAGCCAAGAGCATAATCAGACGCTCTGGAAGCTTAATGGCCTTCTTTACCTTAGATACCCACTCCTACATGAGCCTCAGTAATCATGCTCACATCATTTGCTCCATCTCCAATAGCAAGTGTTATTTCGTTTTTGAAATTTTCCTTGACAATCTTTACCAGCTCAGCTTTTTAAATAGCAGATACTCTGCATCCTAAAACAACATCTGCATTCTTAGATAGTTTAATGAAATTATTCTTTTCCTCTTTATTTTATGATAACAAAACCAAGGAATTTCCAGTTACAACTATTGAGTATTAACTATTTTGTTGTTTAGAGTCAGTATAATCTTAAATTTCCTTTATTTACTAATTTATTCCTTCATGATTTTCCTTGTCAATTACAAATAGCTTGCTTGATGGATTTAATAAATGACAGCTTTAACTCACGCTTATAGCAGTTTCTACTTTATCTCCAGTTAAAAGCCAGAATTTTATATTTGCTTTTTTTAGGTCTCTAATGGTCTCCTCTACTCTATCTTAGAGAACATCTTCAATTGATGTTGATCCTAACAATATGAAATCATTTTCTAATTCTTATTACAAAATATCTAGCTATTGATCTTAATCACTAGGATTGATATTTATAAATTTTTAGTTCCATTTATCATATTCTGACTAATCTAGGTCTCTGCGAGCATAGACCAATGTCCTCATACCCTTTTCACCATATTATCTGAGATAATCGTGGGTGGCTTATATTTCTTCATCAATGTTACCTTTCTTAGCTAATTTGTTTAAGATGACTGAATCAGCCCCTTTACAATAAAGCTTTATTTTGTTTTACTCATCCTAAACTATAACAGACATTTTTTTCCTCTCAGAGGTAAATTCAAATGCATGCAATACTTTAAGAGTGACTTCCTTACCATCTTATTTTTAGATAATTATTGTATTTTGAATATTGTTTCTATCAATGAATCTATAGCCTAAGAATGCTGCAGCATTTACAAGAGACTATTCGTCAGGAGAACTAGCAGAATAAGGACTATCTTATTTCTTGTCATTATCAATTGATTTGATAACTGTGTGGGTGATAGACATTGCAAATAGTATTTCATTTATATTTTTAAAATTTGAATGACTAGAATCTTGATAGTGTTCATAGAACTTAGGATCATCAAAGTTCACATTTCTTAAATTAGCTTTCCAATCATCCCTAGATCTTAACTTCATAGCTTCAAAGCAGTCTTTATCCGATTAACCATAAGAGTATGAACCAGCACTAAATTCTTTAAAGTTCATTATGTTCTAAGTCAAGGTCCCTGTTTTATCTGTAAAGATATGAGTTACTTAGCCTATCTCCTCATTTAAATTGCTAGATTAGACTTTGGGTTAGAAATCATTCTATTAATCGTACATCATCACATCCCAACCAATAAAGTAGCTATATATCAATCTAACACCATCGAGGGTCAAGAATAGAGTTACAGGTATTAAATGCTGTAAATTTTAAATCCAGATGCATATTTTAATCAAGAATCTGATAAAGAAATTTGTGCTATTGTTTGAGTGATACTGCTCAACCTAGAGATATTTTTTCTTTACCTCGTTCTCATCATCCATTGCAGTTCCAAAGAGTGAGGCGAATAGACAGAGGAAGATTAGAAACCCAAACATAATAAATACTTATCTGAATAAGAACTTGTCATTTTTTGATGTTTTCATTTTTGATAACTGCGAGTTCTACATGATTTTTGTTTGATGTCCTGCGTATGTTACTAACCCTATTATATATTCAGTATTCCTCAAACCAGAACCTCTTAAAAGCAAATTATCAATATTTAAGCCATATTTCTCAGATGTTTATTATTTTGAGATAATTTCTAAATTTCCAGCAAATTTATATATCAAGTTATTTGGATGATCGCATTAGACATTTCCTTTTAGATTAAAGGTACCCATATCCATCTTCAACCTTTAATTTAGTGATCGCTTCATTTTAAGTGAAGTCTCACCATCCAATCCTTTTGTTTCAACATAGCAAATCTAATCATGACTCGAACTTGCAATAAAGATTAAGTCTGCTGGAATATTTTAATGATTCTTAACCTTGACTATCTACCCAACTTTTAATGTCTCCCATTTCACAATTTTATAACTTTGAGTGGATTTATCATAAACTTCTACAGTCGATTCATTCTCTTCTGAATCTGCCTTTGATCTCTTTAGGTCCTCTATAATATCTTTACCTGCACTAATAAATAAGACAACAGCTAGGGGTACAAGAATTGAAGGACGTCCACCTGTAGTGCTGACTTACTTTATCAATTGCAAGATGGCTATCAGAATGAAATAGGCATTATATATTTTTTTGAGTTGAAAAAATAGATTCTTCGGTAAGAAATTATACCAAGTATACTTAGATGTTTTGATCTTATTTGTATAGAATTACATAGGCTTTTATAGTTATTAATCCTCTCCAATATCAAAATAGTAAAGAAGCTAATTTTTATTTAAGTTTTCATTGTCAATGTCAACCTGATTTTATTTTGTAGGTCCTTTAGCTTGAGGGAGGGTTTTTTTGTCATCATTGCTTATGATACTTTCCTTAAAATTAATTTCATTTAAAGGTCCCTCCTCAGAATTAAAGATTAGCGAGTTCTACTTTTAGGACTCAGGATCATCACCATTTACTTAGGGTCTATTGTTTTTCATCAATATTTTGATAAATTGTTTTAATTATCTGATTATGAGTTCTCTATTTTTCTATAAGAATAACAATAGAAATATATCTTAATTATGTATATTTTCTGTCCAACATAAAAATAAGTTCCTAACGGGGTTTTGGGGTTTTGGGGTTTTGGGG